ATTAGACCATTTTCTCCAACCAAACCAACCCAAACCGAATTTAGTTCGGTTTGGTTCGACCAACAACTAATGAATAACTAATAACTACAAGTTGTTATTAATTAAAAGTTAAAATGGAAATCTCAATGGTTTTAATTAATTAACCATTATTAATTAAAAGTTAAATGGTCTCAAAGCCCAATGGTTCTAATTAATTAGCTATTATTAATTAAAAGTTAGAATGGGCCCAAAACCCTATGCCAATGGGGAATTGCTGAATTGGCCATTATTCACAAACAAACAAGTAATAACTAGTCTAGGTTTTAATTAACTATTATTAATTAAAAGTTAGAATAGGTCTAAAACCCTATGCGAATGGGGAAATGTCAAATTGGCCATTATTCACAAGCAGTTAATAATTAATGAATAATTAATAAACAATCTACATTTTAATTAACTTTTATTAATTAAAAGCTAGAATGAGCCCAAAGACCAATGGGGAATTGTCGAATTGGTCACTAGGAAAGATAATAATTAATTAGTACAAAGTATTAAATAGAACATTAAATATTTAATATACTTAATTAAATAAAAGCATTAATTCGATTTTTGGTTCAATTCAGATGAAAATCTCACCCAAACCAAACCAAAACCGATAGCCGATTTTTTAGAAAACAAAAACCAAATCAAACTGATACCTGAATTAACCGAACCGAACTAGCTTATTCGATTCGGTTTTCAGTTTATCAACTGAATTTGAGCACCCCTAGATGTGATTATAATTATCAAACTTTAGGGGAGGTTTCAGCAATGGTTAGAAACTTCAAGGAAAGTTTCAGCAATTTACCCAAATATAAATAGGTCCATGCTTTTCAGTTCAGGGTAGATTGCAATTCCCAGCAGAAATGCAGCAACGAACCAATCCCATTGTGTCCTCGACAATTTCTGATCCGTTGTTGCACTTATTTTGGGATATTATCCAAAATCTCTAGAGAGCCCTCTAGCCCCCTGTTAGTGAGTTTTATTGTCTAAAACTCACATTCCGTTAAGATTTCCGTTCAAATAAGCATTTAAGTATTTTATACGACCAAACTACTCCTAAATGATCAGTCAACCTTATTAAATATTTTTATAATAAAATTATCCCAGATTGCTCATATATAATAAGCAAAAGTACAATTTTCTTTCAAAGAAAAAAATTGGACCAAAATAAACCTAACCCCAACCCACCCGATGGCATTGAGTTGTGTTAGGGTTAGAGCTGGAAAATAAACAAGGAGAGTTTGGTTAGGGTTACCCCAGTCCTACTTGACCCTGCCTGACTTGCACCCCAACCCCGGCTCCAAAGACAAAAGGCAAAGACCTTAAACAGTAGCAAAATTAATGGGCTCTCACTTTTGAGTTCAAATCGAGCCCCCACAACGTCTCACAGCACATCCCCGCCGTGCATTGGGAACATCTCTCAATGATGATATCATCATTTCTGAGATTATCATCGGTATATATTCCTAATACACAGCAGGGATGTGTTGTGGGACATTGTGGGGGGCTGATTTGGTCTCCTCACTTCTCACCCGTGAACAAGAGAAGAGGGGTGCCCACATGGATAAAAACGGTCTGAAGCATTATTGTTGATAACGGACTTTTTTGCTACAAGTTGATGATGGTGAGATATCGACATTTTTTTCAGCTTCATCCCTCTTCTCTTCTTTGGGATTGGAAGTCTCAGACACACCAGTTTGGAAGGGAGGCTGTTGATTGATTTGCTTAATCAAAAGTTATTGTCTTCCTTGTTACAATAGTAAAAGACAATCAGAGATAAATAATAACATAGGATATATAGTTAAAACTTAGGGGTCTTTCTTTTTTCGGATTTTGAGAATGGGAAAATTTGTTCAATGAGAATTTGAAACACATGTTCTTTTTCTATATTTATGTGGGAACCAGCAAAAATTTATTTTCTGGGGAAAAATTGTAACACTTAAATGGGACAAAAAATACCACTTTTAATAATAGATTTTTATGAATAAAATGGTTATTGCCTTAACCTACGTTGGCCTTTTTTCCTTTAACAAACCTTTTATTTCTCACTCTTTTATATAACAAAAATAAGGGTCCATTTGGTTTGTAGTAGGAATCGGAATCGGAATTGGAATGGCCTATTCCTGATGAAGGGTGATTTGGCACGACCTAATAAAAAGGGGACACGTGGACACACCAAGAGATGACAACTCAGCCTGACAAGTTTAGTTCGCAACAATAGAGCTCGCGTATTCAGTCACCTTAGCATAAAGGCCACGACTTAAGGATCACCTCGGAGCAGGGCCACCTCGATGCAGGTCTCACCTCGGTATTCAAGCTAGTTCGGAACTAAAAGACTGAAGTACTAGTTCGGAACCAACAACTCGAATCAACACGTAACCGACTCCCGCGTAACCAACCCCAAAGGTCTCTCCAACGACTCCCGAATCCCACGAGATCATTAACAGACCCCAACCTTTCCGGGATCACGATAAGCACTTATCCTTACTCCGCCGGAATCAGAGGAGGAACGAGATAAGCCTTACATGTATGTTGTTCCTTCGGAAGCAGAGCGAACTCCACCTCCACATCCTGGATATCCCGGAACTCTTTCGTGTGCCCCACGAATACTCAACTATATAAAGGCTCCAACCCCAATGGCATGAGGTACGTGTGATTTCTCTACTCTCTATCTCTCTAGCTCTCTACATTCTCAAAACTATTTCAGATCACAACAACTTACTAACTTAAGCATCGGAGCGACCTTGCCGAGCTAACCACCCTAGGTTCTTTGGTCTTATTTTGCAGATTTACCTAGCTCACCGTCCGACTGGAAACTAGATCATCCTCCAGCAGGGAGTAGTCAGATCACGCAACATCAATTCCCACAGTTTGTTTGGTTCAGACAGGAATGTGAATGAAAATTAAAATCAGCAGGAATAAGATTTCATTCCCAAGGGAGGGTCAGGGAAAAGCTATTCCCTGAATTGGGGGAATGCCATTCCAGTATAGGAATGGGAATGAAATTCTGATTCCGCCCAACCAAACAGATGGTATCAGAATAGCCTATTCCGATTCTGATTCCAAACCCCTATTCCTATAAACCAAACGAACCCTAAATAAATAAATAGAAAACCAGTTTCATTCTGTTTTTTGGGTGACCTAAGAATTTTTTACAACCCTTCTGCAATTCATGAAGCACACATCTTACAAATAGGGATCTTGTTTGAGTGGGGATAAGTCCAGTGTCACAAAATAAAAATGAATTTGTCCAGTATTAATTGTCTTTAAGTGGGTTTCCTTTTTCACGAATTGGACTACAGAATAGGCATAGCTCAATTAGATTCATGAATCAATCAAACAATAACTATTAGCTTTTCATGCATTACTGGACGGACGCCAACCAACTAACCTCCCACTGTTTTATCCACATTTCTGGATTCTTAATCTTTTTCTTTTTAGGAAAAGCAATTCATTTTGCTTTCATATCTCTCTCTCCCTGTTCAATTGAAAATATTCTGATTATAGTATCAAACCCCTCCCCCCACGCATCTATTGCTTTCTGCATTTTGATAATATGGTGATAAGCTAGGGAATAAAACCTCAAGAATCCGATTATTAGTGGTATTCATCAAAATTCAAAATTCATGGGGTGCTTTAATGGATCAAATTAAGTTCTTTCGGTATCATAGATTTTCTCGGAAAAAGATGGAAATCCATTATATTTCTCACTTTTACTGAACTATTTTACGTGAAAAACCCAAAAGTGCTTGAGCTTTGGACCGAAATAGCAAAATTCAGAATATAGTAACAGATTCACAAATGATTTCCCGTCACGTATTTCCATTTCCCTTGCCAAACACATTCCACGGTATTTGTTGCTAGGTTCCAAAGAATCGATTTCTTCTCTCATAAACCTTATATGATCATCACTGTCGCCAGAACAATCCTATTACTTACATTTATGGTGTCGCTGAAAGAAGAGGCCTCTTCCTGGGCCTTGCCTCCTGGGCCTTTATGGGCTACAAAAGTACACCTTCCATCACTTGGCTTTTAACTTGGGTGAAATTTCGCATGGTTTTCATGGAGGCTTTAACCAAGAATAAGTATACAGACAGAACTGTTCGCTTCAAATTCCAGTTGTGGACGCTGAACAGTGAACATGGCTTAGGGGCCATTTAAAAGACAAAGCGACCAGTTTTTCAGTTCAGCAACTTCAAATGTTATCAAACGGAACCTTACACAGCAGAAAAAGAGTCGGATCAAAACCAAACAGCCTGCTTTTGATTAATTGATTCCATGTCGATAACCCAATTGCATTGATAATTCATAGTCCAAGCCCAACTCCCAAAAATCAGCCCATGGCCCATGATATCGGTGGTTGTCTGCATCTCTTCAGTCTTCTCTGAACAACTGAAATTCATCCAACATTGAATATGAATTATATAGTTTGATGTCTTATTGGAGTTGGACCTTTAAATGCCTAAACCCGCATTGGATTTGAAGTGGGCTTTTATGTCAAACCATCCCCTTTTATCTTCACTCACTTCTCAACAAAAAATCTAGAAAACCTCTAAGAGTGTAACTTGGGCTGGGCTGATTAGGTTCGGGCCTAGTTCAATCAAAGATCAAAAACCAGACATTGCCATCCCAAGACCAACTCGAGCAAAATCCAACATAATTTAGGCTGCGCATATGAAGATTTGCTTGCGCCTAGGCAGGTTGGTCGGATTTGAGAACCTTATAACTAACAGACCGGAAAGACATATCGTCGGAAAAACTTTAACCAATCAATCAGCATCATATATGTAATAACCAATCAAATGGGTTTTCATCAGAATTCACAGGGAGGGAATTTTGGAAAGAGTACAAATACAAATATATACATCAACAACAATAAGATTTAGAAATACCGTTTTACACTGAATGAACTTCCAAACGGAATCGGATGTATGTAACAGTGTAAATATGTGACATGTTTACGTAAATAAATACAAAATATACATTGGTATTTGGTACATGAGATGAGATGAATATTTTATTTAATAAAAAGTCGGGTAGGCTTGGGTTGGGCTGGGTTTGCTGGACGAGTAAAGGTCACAAGTCACAACTCACAACCTGAGTTTTGAGGAGCAGCCCAACCGCCCAACCTAACCTATACCCAAAACTAGAACCTAACCATGTAAGGCTGTAACCCCCATAGACAAACTCAAAGTGGAGAGTGGAGACACAAAGATGAACCACTTAGAATAGAACCTAGGTCCAAGCTGTTCCCATTATGACCATAAAACAACTCAGGGCCCACGTAACGATCTATATCTACAAGTGGGTGGTGGGTGGGGCCCCTTCCTTAACAATCACTCTCACGGAATCTCATCTCCATTTCTACCTTTCTTTTTTCATCCTTTTTTGAGATCACACATACACACCTCTGCCATTAATCAATCATCCCACAGTCCTCACCGCCTGCAGTCTGCCAGGTCCCGAATTGAAAGCATACATAGTCACTTTTTTTTATAAAACTTAAAACAAAGCAACACTCACTGCACGAGAATCATCATCATCGCATTCAATTAGCAAGCAGACCCACTCATGGGATGTAGTCCCACGTCATCCACATCACAGATATCTCGTCTACTGATCTAACGATCCAAATTCATTTTCATTAGTGAATCCAGGAGAAGGCCTACGGGCTGACGTGGACAACAGGACAAGGAAGGGATAACAAAGTTATAAAACTTAAAGAGAAAGAGAGCCGTTTCACTCTATCCACTCTCCACTGTCGTTGTTTTCTCTTCTAAACGGTCAATTCTCTGTTGCTTCAATGGTGGCCTTTCTTCGTATTAACTGTAATATCTCCTCCTGCTTCTTCTACTTCCTCGTCTGCCTGTATATTTCGTCGTCGCCTTGGATGCCCGAAGCTTGCCATGCCGTCGACCGAGCAGCCTTGCTCGGTTTCAAGGCAAAGATCACTCGAGACCCTTCTCAACTGTTGCGCACATGGAAGCCCTCCACCGATTGTTGCACCTCTTGGGATGGCGTCGCCTGCGACTCCTCCGGTAGGGTCGTCAATGTCTCCCGTCCCGGCCTTTACTCGGGCGACGATTTCATCTCCGAGACCTCAATGGCCGGTACCTTGTCACCCACTCTCGGCCACCTCTCCTTCCTCCGCCTTCTCGATCTCAGTAATCTCAAGGAGTTGAAAGGACCCATACCTCCGGAGTTAGGTAAATTGTCACACCTCACCTACCTCTTCCTTGATTCAAACCAGCTTACCGGATCGATTCCCTCCTCCTTTCGACACCTTGTCCGCCTCAAGAGACTCTACCTTGGTGACAATCGACTCTCCGGTGTCATCCCTTTTTCCGTTCTCCACTGCTTGTCCTCGCTTTTCGAACTGAGCTTGTCTGGAAATGAGTTATCAGGTGGCATTCCCTCGTCAGTTGGCAAGCTGGTTTCACTGGCAAAGCTTGACCTCCATGCCAACAATCTCTCTGGCAGTATACCGCCGGCAATTGGCCGTCTCAAGAAGCTCAAGTACGTTGACTTGTCGGAGAACCAGATAACCGGAAGCATTCCTCCATCTATTGGCGGTCTCTCCCAATTGGTTATACTCTATCTTAACCAGAACCAGATGACTGGAAGAATCCCCTCTTCCATTGCCAACCTCGCTTCTCTCCAATTCTGCCGCTTATCAGAAAACAGACTAACTGGGCCTTTACCTGCATCCATTGGTAAGCTTCCCAGTATTCAAAGGCTGATATTGGAGAACAACAGGTTGACTGGAAAGCTGCCGGCGACTATCGGTCAACTTACAAACCTCACGGAGATATTCTTCTCCAACAACTACTTTACAGGTACGATCCCCTCAAGTTTTGGGAATCTTCAGAACCTTCAGACACTCGACCTCTCAAGAAATTCTTTCTCCGGTCCCATTCCTCCTCAGCTGTTGAAATTATCAAAGCTACAGACCTTGGACCTGTCATTCAATCCTCTTCGTCTAGGGAGAATACCAGACTGGTTTGCCAAACTGAATCTTTTCCGGCTCATGTTAGCACGAACTGGGATCGTTGGGCAACTCCCCGCATGGTTATATTCGTCCTCCGTATCGATACTCGACTTATCAAGCAACAGATTCACGGGGCCATTGCCTCGCTGGATAGGAAACATGACGAGTCTCTCCTTCCTCAACCTCTCAAACAATGGATTCCACTCGGCTATTCCGGTAGAAATGAAGAACCTTTCGCTGCTAATGGACCTCGACCTCCACTCGAACAAGCTGAGCGGAGATCTGAGAACGATCTTCTCCAAGAGAATCCAAGACCCACTAGGCCGTTTCAACTCCATCGACCTCTCTTGTAATAGGTTCACAGGTCCAATCGATAGGAATATCGGCGACATGCCCTCCATGGTCTCCATCGAAAAGCTGGTACTGTCATACAACCCTCTAGGGGGAACGATACCGACGTCGTTGGGGAAATTGAGTGGGTTAAAGCTGTTGGAGTTGGCAGGGAACAGGCTGTCCGGTAGTATACCAGCTGACCTCGGCGATGCGAAGGAATTGGCGTCGATAGTGCTGTCGGAAAACAAACTGAGCGGGACCATACCAGAAGAGGTGATGAAACTGGTGGAGCTTAGAGAATTCGACGTGTCGAAGAACCGACTGAGTGGACGGATACCTCCTCACAAGGCCAGAATCCCTCCCTCAGCTTTCAGGGAAAACCCAGGCCTCTGTGGAACTCCACTCCCGCCTTGTAAGCACGCCTGAGAGCCTGCAACGAGAGGGTCGCTTGCAGTGTATCAGAGATCACACACGAAACACAAACACATACACACCCCGTGATGATATTTTCGTGTTGTTCATTTCCAGACAATCCAAACATTACACAATTTTTTTTTTTTAAATGTTAGAGAGTTAAATTGTATTTCTTTTTTTGGGTGGTGAAGATTGATTTAAGGTTGTGATTTGTGAACAGATTCATGATTTACTCTTTTTCTTTCACTGCTGCATTGTGCATGGCATGGAGTACGCTGATTTATTGACCCAGAAGCAGGATCGGGCCGGGTAGTAGGCATCAGGGACACGTGGCAAGTGTGTACCTAGAGTTATTGTATATCAAAAATTCGACTTGCATGCCACGTGGCAAGTGTGTACCTAGATAAGGATTACATGGACTAAAGCACTGTACAAGTGTAAGGGAAAATTGAGGAAAGAGCGATGGAATAATCAAGGAAGGCAACTTGGGAATTGGGAGTTGGGACCATACTACATTACTAGTAGTACGCTGTTGGTCAAAATAGCATGACTGTGATATCAGCCAAGCAAAACACAACCGCAAAAAAGAAAAATCAGAATAGAGAATATGACAACATGACTGTCGAACAGATTAATTTGGTTTTGGCTGTCAGTTCTCAAGCACATGTCATGTCAAACTGCTACGGTTTCTACACCCTTTTGTCGATTAGATTATATAGGAAGAAATTGCCTCAGAGGTTGCTGCTATGAGTCAAATATGCATGCCAAGGGTTGGTTGTCCATGTGTGATTTATGATTATTAGCCAGTCCACTGGCCTCTCTCTCTCTCTCTCTCCAATTTCATGTTCTGCCGACTTTTAAGGATTTTTAATAGATCAAAGTTCATCACAAATGCATCATTTTTTAACTCAGCATGCTTGTTTGTTGCGAGTCCTGTGACAAATACTGTTGAAGGCTAGAACTCTATGTTGCCAAATACCAAATACCAAATACCAAATGTCAAGCAACTTCGTGCTGTCGTGCATTTCCTTTAGTCAAATGGAATTTCTTTTGTGGTCGGTAAAATAATTACAATCGCAACTGTCCATAAGCTTAAGGTTGGGACTCGCAAATCACAAAGCACCATACATGCCCAAAGTCCAATTCATCCTGGATTATTTTTTTAGTATTTTTGGTTCCCATGAAATATAACACAGCATAAAATATAGCTCAAGCATCGTAACCTGGAGTACAAGAGTTTGATGTAATCCCATTCAGGTAATCTTACACGACCCTGAATATATATTTGAAAAATTGATCAGAGACGATTGGTTCAATCTATCAGGGTACCTGCAGTTAAAAATTACAATCCTCTCAACTTAGAAATATAAGAAACATTTTCAGTTTTTTCCTACAGAAACCAGGTGCATGTGCATCTATAACTTTTACACTTTGTTATGTAAACAACTAAACATCTTACAAGCTGAGGTTCAGGACAGGATCCTCGGCTTTTATAGTCTGGTTGCCCCCAATCAAGGAGAGACACTTGTCACATAATAGATCCATCATATCCCAAAGACCCAAACGTTTTAAGTCAGAACAGAGAAGGTCGAGGCTTCTCTTTTGTGGTAGCTAGCCTAGTAGGTCGAGGCGGAAACCAACACTGGATTTTTATTTATTTTTGAACTCCTCGTCAATTCAAAACATCTTTTTGAAATTTTAAGCTTTTTCTCCTTATCTCTCTCCTGAAGCATAAATCATGGATAAATTTTTGGATACCAAAGTTGGGCATAAGAATGCTTATATGCTTCGTTAAGCTGGGCTTCATGCATATGGAACACAGGTGTGATCATTCATGAGGGATTACGTAAACAGGCTCATACGTTTGTATTTACAGAGCAAATATTACCGCAGAACTCAACGACTCCCAATGATTTTTTATTTAACACGCCAATGTTTTAAATTTTAATCAGGCACCCGTTTGACATGATATTGTCTTTTTCACCAAACACTGGGCTGTTCAAAAATCATTGGAGGGCTGTTGAGTTGTTCTGCGACCAGTAATGTTTTTTTTTTTTCGAATTATCCGGAAAGATCATGTCTACCATCTAGTTTTGAAGTATCAATACTGCTATCGTGAGGGAAGTGGACGACAAGAAAATAATGGCCGAGAAAGGAGCAACGGAATTTGGATCTACCTTCGTGGAGCTCCTAGGTTCTGACCATTCAGGGGGTGGAGAAGTCTTAAACCGACTCCCTGAACTAGTTTTAAAAAAAATAAAGAAAAAAAGGTTAAAAATACTATCGCCCGATATGCCCCTACCGGAGTATCGGACGTATCAATGTTTTGAACCTTGAAAGAATGAAGCTTTTCATCCAATGCCCTCACCTTACGGCAGGATTATTGTTGGAGAGAGGAGGTGACGACGAGGTTTTAGAGATGTGAAGCAATGTTGTAAGACTCGAACTGGACTAAATACCGGAATGCTCCACAGGTCCTGGTTTTACCGGTGAACCCAGCATGTAAAACACTGTAAATCAGGACAGGTTTAATCTACCAAAGAATATTCTACAGAAAAAAGTAATGTCACAGGGCAGGTGTCCATGAGATGCTCAATTTCACCTGAAATCTATATTCACCAACAGTCAATCAATAACTTCCTATTTTTTTCCTGTTTTCTGAACCAGAGCTCCAAGCAATCTCAGTAACCGCATAATGGAATAATTAATTGTGGCTAATGATTAAATATGAAACAAATAAAGAATAGCAAAGGAGCAAAAATAGGCTCGCTAAATATTTCTTGTACCCATAAAAAATTGGGCGAAAAAGAGGAAAAAAACGCTTCTTCTTTATAGAAGCTTTGGTTGTACTTCTGTACATGATGACAATTCAGGGAACAGATACATGAATCAAGATGGTGTAACAGAAAACAGATTACAAATCTGGAGTAGGAACTTTAAAAATTATCGCCCATCCATTTTGTTTTTCTTTCCTTTTTCCTCTCTTAGCATATATTACAGGCCTTCAGCGAGAAGATGAAGAGAAATTACAGAATACCTTTCATGCAGCTACGTACAAGCCAACATGGAAAAATGACAAACGGCTGAATGGAGAAATAAATTCCTGACAGAAGATCCAGGATGGAGGGATCAGAAACTTAGATGCAGATCCGTCAGTCAAAATAAAAGATGACCTTACGCTATCAATGGACATGAAAACAATTTAACAAGGAGAAAAAGAAAAAGGAAAAAAAAATAATAAAGACTAATTTCTATCACCTTCATTCAGTTGTCATGAAGTGAAAGCAATGATCCTGTCTGCAATCTTTGTGCGACAAATAGGACACTCAGAACAAGCAAGTGAGCAAGGTTTGCACACTGCACATGGTAGATCAATGATGATTGTTGATATTGAATGGGGAAAATTAGACAGGATATATTGATAAAAAATGACAAGACACATTAAGATCACTTACAGCAAAAATGCCGGCAAGGGAGAAGTATTGCTGCAGTTGGTGCCTCAAAGCATACTTTGCAAATATGAGAATTTGCATCCCCATTTCCCAAGGATTCCATCTCTTTCTCCTTCATCTCTTGCATGCGGGCCTGAAATCATGCAAAAGGAAAAGAGAAAAATAAATAGGTTTCTTCCCAGTTACCAAATTGCAGAATATTTGCATGAAAAATATGATGCATTCTAAATGTGAAGTGTTAACAACAATATGATGCATTCCAAATGTGAAGGTCATAGTGGAAATTCTTACAAAAAGCATCCTCTACAATGGAATCTGGGATAGATATAATTTGGTTGCAACTAAAATGAACAAAAAAAGTAAAATGAGTTATGCTTTTCTTAAATAACCCCACTATTAGGATGCAACATATTGCCTAACAGTGCAAACAAGATGAAATAAAAATCCCCAAAAAACCCAGACTACATGAATCATCAAGAAAAAAGAAAACATAAATCAGAAATTCCACCCCCTAGGATAAAGAATATGCATTATTGAAATAATATATGAAGCATAAACTTGTAGATCAAACAATTATAGATAGTGTTACCACTTATTTCTATGTTAGTTTATATATGTGAAATATACCAATTGCAGTGTATAACATGAATGCTTGAAACATTTCATTAATTGTGTACCCACTCTCATGCATCCTACAAGTCTATGTGAAGCATTTGAAGCATAAAGATTACAAATTACATATATACTGGTAAATAAGATGGAAACTTGGAAAATAATAGAAACTTTCAATTATATTCCATAAATCTGGGTTTTCAGGTAGGCAATAAAAAATAATTCCACAAGGAAATATCTTTCGTGTTTTGGAACCTAAGCAACAAATCAAATGTGGAATTTGGGAAAAAATAAATCTATGAATGAAGTCTACGGAGTGAAGTTGGGAAAGAAATCAAAGAATGCAAATGAGATTCATATGAACACCTTTACCTTCAGCCGAACAACCAGAGGTTCTAGTTCAGCACCACCCTGAACCATTTTTGTGCCATCAGAAACCTGTCTCTCTTTAAGGATGATATCTTTGTTCTCACTGCCATGTGTTTTTAGATCATTCCCATGGTCTGACCCATTGGTGGACCTCTCATCAACATTCAACTCTGTAATAGCTCCTCCCTCTTTCTTTAACTTTGCAACAAGCACCCACATGTTTGCTAAATCATTTTCCAGAGCTGCCTCTTTTTTCTTTGCCTCATCAACCTTTCTTCTATATTCCTCTTCTGCAAGTTCCTTTTCAGCTAAGGCAGCCTCAAGAGCAGCCTCTCTTTGCTTTCTTGCCTGTAGTTCCATCTTTATATCTTCAGGATCGAGATTCCAATATTCAACATCATCATAGACTGTCCCAAGCATTTCATTGCTCCTGCCAGAAAGCCGGCCTTTTCTGCCAGATTTAATGCCATCGATCTTGCTATCAGCATATTTGCGAATACCATTACTGGTTTGCATGACAGCACCTCTAGAATATGCCATATCTTGAGCAGCCAAAAGTTCTTTTGCTTGTCTTGCATTCTGTAATGAAAGCTTAGTAACTTCACCTGCCAAATTTTTCAATTCAACAGCAGCAGCAGATGCCAATTCCTTTGCATATGAAGCTTCTTCTGCCAACTTTTGATTCTGTACATGCAATCCACTGTTCTCTTCCATAAGTAGAACATGTTCCAGCTTTAGCTTTTCATTTTCAATCTCCTATTAAGAACAAGAAAAACAACTCAATCAATTGGGAGAAAAACAACCCAGGTGGCCAAGAACAATGAATAAATGTAATCCTGCCTCAGCAGAAAAGAGAAATTATGAGATAATTTTAGGTTGTTCTTAACAAGAAGTTAGACACGGGGTCATGCAATATTTACACCCTCTTACTTAGAGGTGTCAAAGCTCATAGGTAGAGGTGGAAAAAAAAAGTCATGCTTGACAGATGTGCAGGTTTTCAAGAATTTTACAAGCTCAGCTATAATAAAACATAACAAGTGAATTGGTGAAAGTAGAAGAAGGCCCTGAAAGAGCAAAGCGAGTAGAAAAGAAAATGTCATTTTAGATAGAGCACAATGGCAGGAAAGGATCCATGCAGCCAGCCCCAAAAAAGTTGGGATTAATGCTGAGATGAGCTGAGTTGTAGCTGTAATAAAATAGGAGGACAAGGCTCTGCTGCAGTAGTAGGATTACAGGACCTAGATAGAAATTAATGCTGAGATGAGTTGAGTTGTAGCTGTAACAAAATAGGAGGACAAGGCTCTGCTGCAGTAGTAGGATTACAGGACCTAGATAGAAACAACTAGGAGATTAATTGGAACTTGGAAGAACAAAGCACACACCATCAAGCTCAGGTTTGTATGTCTTCCCGATAGCAATGCTTTCAACCCACCATTGACCCGGGCAGTCAAACCATTCAAACCACCACTGGCCCCTTTTCTGGATCTGGTTTTTATAAAACCCAAAAATGGACCAAAAACCATTGAATTGGTCAAAACCCATCCGACCAAGGTGGTTAAACCTTTGACCCATTCAACTCGGTCACCGAGTCACAGGTTACACACTACATGTATATCAAAAACTTCTGGAGGCCATAACATTGCATTCAGTTGTCCAATTGGGGTGATCTTTTCTCTATTTTGAGTAACCATTTGAGATCTATATGTTCTAAGGCACCTTGCCAAAAAAAACTAAACTTTTTTGGCCTCAAATCCCCACTTTTAGCTTTTTTTTACTTATAAAAAAATTAAAACTGAAATAAAATTACAAAGTAGACCTGAAATAAAACATATATGCATACATTGCATGTAGAATGTAATTATATATTGTTTATTGTATATAATATAAATTTATACACACATGTATATGCATATATGCATACAGCCATACACATACACAGGATGATGTGTCATGGTCTGACGCATCCAACCCAGACAGTTCAACTGCTGACCTGTGACCCAGAGGAAAAAACAGTTCAGCCTCCGAGTCAATTTTTGAAACAGTCCCATAACACCCATAACAGGAAAGGAGGTAAGCATGCTACAGATAGTATTGAAGTCATGAGCTTTTTGTAAGCACTGTACTGGATCAGCAGTTTTGACCAAAACATATAAATCACAATAGTGGAATAGTATTTTACCAATCACCCAACTGGGTGGCTGTCATCATATCCGATTGGAAACATTCAAAGAGTGTTGAATCAATAACTCAAGTCCATAGTTATTTTATCTGGGAATGAGAGGAAATTTCAGGGCATCCTCCTTTATAACAGATGTAACATAGGTATCATTTACTTCCACATTGTAAAAGTAGACGGTGATTAAGGTGTTGATCAATAGTTCAATACTTAATAGTTTTCAGGACAAAATCACACTGGAGCATAGAAAATAGAAATTATGAAAGAGGATGTAACATATTGCAGAAAAAGCAACTCCATCAATGTGAGCCACAAAAGTCACTGATAACCAACAGACTGAAGTGTAAAAACAAAGCATATCCAAGAAAGTTTTAGCAGATCCTAGCAATCACCTGAGACTGAATTTTCTTTTTCAACTCATCGACGTATTCTTCAGAGAAGCGCTTCTCATAAGTTGATTTTTCACTCAAAGCCAAAGCCAGCTGCTGCTGCAGTAGCTCTACTTTCTCTTGCAGTTCCTTGTTCTCTGAACACTGTTAGGTAACAAAAAAGATAAACATTGTTAAATCCTTGAAAGAAAATATTAAATAAGTGAAGCAAAAATTTTGATGATAATGTTCAGTAAAGTATCCCTACAACTGTAACATGTAAAAGAACAGAACATTTCCTAACAAATATGAAAATATTTCCATACAATATACTAAAAATAATCAAGTAGAATAAGATGTTGCAAATGATAACCTTATTCTGTAGCTGTTCCTGGAGGATACGATTGTCTGCTGATTTTAGCTGCAAAAATTGAAGCTCACATTAACCAAATGAGATATCTGAATCATTATACTTGCAAAAAAACAGTGTGCTACCATTAGCATATATCTACAATTCACTACGATTCAAATAAATTCAATTAAGAATTAGTTCTTTACTTTGTTATTTTTCTGTATATATTTAGTTTTGCCAAGGGATATTTTTTTCTAAATTCCTTACTAAGTGATTTATGTACAATATTTAAGACTAGAAATTGAGTTTATTTTCCATCATATGTAGGTTAAAGAGCCATTGTACGTAGATTTGTTTGATTTTTCAGTCAAACTTAAGTGGTAAATTCTATTGTTTTAAATAGCCATTTAATATATCTATATTTAATTTCTTGACAAGTTTGTAAAAAATAGAAATAATCTTATGATTTATGATATGATTCACGATTCGATTCGACTCAACTTTCTCTACAATTTACAATACGATTACAATTTTCAAAACATTGAGTATAAAATGAATATCAGGTACACACCTCCAGCTCAAAACCCTTCTCATTGCATTGAGTCATTAATCTCATAACTGTCTGTTTGGCAAAAAGACAACAGAAGAAATTTAATTGCAAGAAAGTGAATAGTATGATTCATTTTTTTATCAATTAAAAAGAAGTGAATAGTAAGATGTTCAAATACTATAATATTAGGAAGAAAAGAAGAAAGCAATACCTGTTGCATATCAACTAATGATGCATTAGAAATTGATGCTTCACCACTCTCAATAATACGCTGCTCTAAGACCCTCATCTGTCTCCTTTTCTCTTGTATTTCACATTCCAAGTTCTGAATCTGAGTTTCAAAAAATACATGGCAATAGGAACTTAGAGCTTGAGAAAGGGGGATCATATCAAAGCACGTTATTACATGGATCATTGTTCAGTGCTATCACCAAATACACACTTGGATGGTAGTGGCACTTAGATCTAATTGACAGGAATATGTGAAAATTACATGAAAGGTAATTCTTTCAAAAAGACATACAAAAGAATAAAGAATTCCATCAAAATTATAGGGAACAACAGCCAGATGAGACAATATTAAAGCATGACGAGGAAGAAAAAGATATTATGAAATTCTTTATTCTTAAATATAGTACCGCAGGGGTACTATTGTACTTTTACCCTTTTATTATTTTAGTTGCTGTCACCCTAGTATATATAACAAAGAGCTGGCACCGCCAGCAAGCTTTTTGACTCCCAATATTTTCTCCTCTCTTCTGCTCTCTCTCTCTCTCTTCTCTTCTCTCTCCTCTTTTTTTCTCTTCCATCACTACACTGATAACATGGTATCAGAGCGCGACTATCAGATCTGAAAGGAGAAGTCGAGTGAATAGTTTTATTCGCACCAGATTTCCAGATCTGCCGCCCTCATCTATTGTTTGGCAGATTGAAGATCTCACGCACTGAAGTAACTTTTCTCCCTCTCCCTTTTTCTGGTCATGTGCCAGGGCAGAACCTGTACTAGGTCTGCTGATTGGATGTGAGGTGATCCGCACCTCTTTCTTTCCTTTTTTGTGGGGTCAGCTGATCCCTGTAAAACTGTAGGTCGTGAGGACCTTTTGTGTGCTGCAACAGCAGCTTTTATGGAAAACTGGAGGTCAGAAAGTGACCTGTACTTGCTGTAATAGCCATCCTGTTGATGCGTAGGTCAAGAGATAACATGTATGCACTGTGGCAACACTTGTGTTAATTCTGTAGGTCAAAGGATGACCTGTTAGTGCTATAACAACACCTGCGTTTTACAAAAAAGAGGTGTTTCTGAAGAAAAAAGAGGTTCTCCTTTCTCTCTCAGTGTTAGGATTTTTTTTAAGGCTGTGTACCCCCTTTAAGAGTGTTTTATTGAATCTGAAATCATGAGGGGTGAAGATTCTGCTACATCCAGTGTTTCCTCAATGCCGAATGGAATGAGTGGGGGTGCGGACCTATCCTTTCCCATGGCTGTTATTCCTCTCGACGGTTTAAATTATTTGGAATGGTCAAGAGGGATCAAGTTGTACATTACTGCATGGGGAAAAATAGGTTATAGAAATGGGAGAATCAAAGAAACCAATTCTGGGAGTGTTGAATATGACAGATGGAACCAGGAGAACAACATGGCTATGTCCCAACTTTTAGTGTCTATGCAACCCCAAATAAGAAGGAACTTTATGTGGGCTGAAACGGCAAATGAAATCTGGGAGTAGGCAAAATCAACCTATTCTGAGCTGCATCACTATGCAAAGATTTATCAGTTACAGGCAGAATCATCCACTTGTAAACAGGGAAAGTGGTGTTTTTCTGTGTACTACTCAAGCTTGACCTCTGTTTGAAAGGAGTTAGATCATTTTCAAAGTGTGGACTGTAAGTGTGATGAAGATGCAAAATTACACAAGAAACTTGTATCTCAGCAGAGAGTGTTTGCTTTTCTATATGGCTTGAATCCGGCATATGAATCCATCAAAGTTTAGATCCTAGGTAGCAAGGATCTTCCCTCCATCCAAGAAGTTTATGGTCTTGTACAATCAAAAGAAAGTAGAAGGAATTTGATGAACAGTTCTAGAGGGGATGCAATTGGGTTGGCAATGAAAGGAAGTGTGATTACAGGTGGTGGAAACACCTTTAAGAGAGGGGACTCTCAAAAAAGGCGGATGACAAAGACAAATTGTGGTGTACTCATTGCCAGAAACCCCAACACACCCGAGATACATGTTGGGATCTCCATGGGAAACCAAAATGGGGTATAAAACTCATTTAGTGGCAAAGGAGTTTACACAAGTGTATGGAGTTGATTATGTAGAGACTTTTGCACCCGTTGCCAAGATGAACTCCATTAGAGTCTTGTTCTCCCTTGCTTCTAATCTTGACTAGGATCTACATCAGCTTGATATCAAAAATGTATTCTTGAATGGTGACCTTGAAGAGGAAGTTTACATGGTACAATCCCCTGGTTTTCGGGCTCAAGGCAATGAACAGAAAGTGTGCAAGTTGAAGAAGTCATTATACGAGCTGAAACAATCACTGAGAGCCTGGTTCAATAGGTTCCATGCAACGGCTTAGCATAAAGCATACAAGCAATGCCAATCTGATCACACATTGTTTGTGAAAAGGGGGGAAGGAAAAATTGCTGCTCTGGTAGTATATGTTGATGATATAATTATCACTGACGATTGGAAGGATGAAATCCAAAAGTTGAAGATTTTTCTTGCTACACAATTTGAAGTAAAGAATCTAGGTCCTCTAAGATACTTCCTTGGAATTTAAGTTGTTCGCTCACAAAAGGGTATCTTCATTTCCCAAATGAAGTATGTCCTAGATCTGCTCCAAGATACAAGAAAATTGGGAGTGAAGCCAGTTGATTCCCCTATTGATCCTAATCACAAATTAGGTGACTACCAAGGTGAACCTATCAAGGATGTGAAACAGTTTCAGAGACTTATAGGAAGATTGTTATATCTTTCTATGGCCCGCCCCAACATTGCTTATGCAATTGGTGTTCTTAGCCAATTCATGCATGCTCCCAAGACCACTCACCTTGAAGCAGCGGAAAGGGTTCTCAGATATCTTAAGAAATTCCCAGGTGCTGGTTTGTTGTTTCAAAAGCACGGACATTTGAAAGTTGTAAGTGTACATTGAAGTAAATTGGGTAGGATCCCTAAATGACAGAAAGTCAACTAGTGGCTATTGTACCTTCATAGGAGGAAATCTAGTTACTTGGAGAAGCAAAAAGTAGAATGTGGTAGCTAGATCCAATGCTGAAGATGAATATCAGGCAATGGCTCATGGAGTGGCTGAAATGATGTGGCTAAAGAATCTGTTGAGTGAGTTGGGTTTTCTAGTGAACAGACCTATGACCCTATTCTGTGATAACAAAGCAGCCATAAACATTGATGCTAATCCAGTGCTGCGTGATAGAACTAAACACAACGAAATCGACAAACACTTTATTAGAGAGAAAGTTGTCACAAGGAAAGTGTGTACTCCTTATGTCAGCTCTGAGGATCAACTTGCAAACATCTTTACAAAAGGGCTACACCACTCACGGCATCATGATTTATGTGAGAAGTTGGGCATGATTGACATCTATGTCCCAACTTGAGGGGGAGTGTTGAAAGCTTTTATTTTCCCAAAGTATAGTACCACAGGGGTACTATTGTACTTTTACCCTTTTATTATTTTAGTTGCTATCGCCCTAGTATATATAACAAAGAGCTGGCGCCGCCAACAAGCTTTTTGGCTCTCAATCTTTTCTCCTCTCTTCTGCTCTCTCTCTCTCTTCTCTCTCTCCTCTTCTTTTCTCTTCCATCACTGCACTGATAACAGTAGCTATATGAGTTATAGTCAAATACAATAAGACACCTAACAACTTGAACTCAAGAAATTAAGAATTAAAACAAATAACAAGAGATCCATTGATGGGATAAAGTGGGAGAAGGCAATTATTCGCAGAACTGATGTGGAAGAAATTGAAAAGGTTGCATGGTTTGCCAGCAATGCCCAAGAAAAAGTAAACAGTGCAAAGATTTTATAACCTAAAATGTTTTAATTTATGGAGTCACATGCAATTTATGGCCATACATTATCACTTTGAAAAACCTGCCTCCATATTTTTGGGATTCAAGTATTTTAATAGGAGTAAACAATATTTAGATGGAGAGGAAGAAATTTATACTTGGGTTTTTGAGGCCTCAGGGTCATTTACAGACTGCTCTACCAAGCGCTTAAGAGTACTGGTGCTGAATGCTATCTCTCCAGCTAGCATCTTAACTTGTTCAACAAGTAGGTCCATCTCATCCGATGTCATCCCACCCTGAATTTTAGATGAAAAGACAATATGAGGAACTGAGTTTAAGAGTTAACAGTCATAAACAAGCTCTCCAGAAATACAATAAGAAAACCTACATGGATAAACTCAGAAAAGCTACCGAGTTTAAGAGCTCAGAAGCAAACTGGAAACATTTCAAATAATGGAAGTATAATAAGTAATATCACCTGTAAGAAGCTTGCATATTTTGAAACATGAAGGTGGCAACAGTAAAATTTTATCTTAGTATAGGTATGTAAAAACAACAAAGCACTTCATTACCCTCAGTATGTGTAGGATATAATTAACGAAAGTGAGCAAGTTAAACATACTGTTTGCAGTCTTGAACTGCCAGCAGTCCCAATGATAAGTTCACCCGCTTGAGTTGATTCTGTAACTGAACTGCTGATTGATGAAAGTTCTTCGTTCCACTTGCTTGAAGATCTTCTATGTTTAGCATCATAAGAGGGGATAGATGGCACTGACAGAGCAGAAGATGGTGAGTTTTGGTTCTCACCTTCTACAAGCAATGGAGAACCCTCACGCAAAACATCCAATTTCTGACATAAAAGGAATCAAAGATCAGCATAAAACTCAATACCATCCATATTGAGCATGACATCTACACAAAGTGGTAACAGCAAGCCCATAACTCTGCATGGGGAAAGGAAAGAGAAAACAATAGACATCAAAAAGAATATCTAAAAACCTTTCATTTGGATTTTGACGCCCATTGACCAATGATATATCTTTATTTTCTTTCTTTCATTTCTTTGGAGGAAGAAGGGGTGAAATTGTTATAGTGGTTTCAAACAACTAGAGAGAAAAGCAGTTGAACAGGAAAGACAATGATTCAACAAGAAGATGGATAAGGCTTTAACTCAACTTTTCATAATTCCACTACTTATCATTTCAAGGCATTTGCTCTTATTTAATTGATGAATTCAAGCTGATATCATAAGAGTCAACAATCAACATGTTGAATCATCAATGTGATGGATTAACCGAGGATGCTGACTTATCCAGCTAGCTGCATGAATATGTTTTGACATCCATGTCCATGTAGACCAAACAGATTTTTATTTTGATTGCTACCACAATTGCTTATGGTTTTTTCAGATGTAATTAATTGTTAACATACAAATGCTCAAACTAAGTCCAGTTAAAAATCTTAAATGAAAATAATATAAAAGAGCACATATCATGCTCTTCAATTTTCCAGAACCATAGAGGAATATAAACTTACATCATCTTCACTGACAGAAAGGCGTCGGTGATGACTTGGTACATCACTCAAGCATCCTGGAATTGTATTCTTAGTTGAAACAAGTATTAATTTGGTCAGCCTTTGGATTCTACTCATAAGAGCTGCCTTTGCCTCTTCTTCTTCCTCTAGCCTTGACTGCATTTTCACTTGACCCTCCTCCAACTGTTCGAAGTACAACACAAGATACCACTCAGGACCAAAAGCAAAAGAAAATTTTGAAATTGAGTTGATACCACTTTGAGACAACATTGTGCATATAATCATGAGATGAGGAAAACCTGCTGCCTCAAGCTCAGAATCTCCTCATGATTAACACCAGCAAGCATCCCCTTCTTCAGTTGGTCAAGTTCTTGTTTGAGGCTCGAAATTTCTCTTTGGTACTTCTTAATCAATGACTTTTCATCAATAATCTGAAATGTCAAACATTCCCACAAAACAATGTTAATGCAAACCATCATTGACAGATTGTTAAGTCCTGCTCAAAACAGTATCATAAAGTGATGGCATGCCAGAATTTGACATGTACCCTATTTCGTGAAGCAAAAATCTCCACCCGCTTTGCCCTACTTGCAAACTTCACTGTATTGTGAGTCTCCTCCATGCTACTAGATGCAGGAGTAACTGTGCATATTAACTGTAGAAGACCAATTAGATAGCATTATGCATGGTAGTTAAAGATGTAGACAACTAGTTAGTTACTTTAGGATGTAATCGAGCTGCAACTTTAAGGTTGACCCATGGAAAGAAAATAAAGTGAAAAAAAAACAAGCACACAAGCACATGATTTTAGTGAAAAAGGTATATTATGTAAAGCATGGAAAACTCTCATGATTGTATTTAAGTCAATTAGATACAAAAATAACACCATTATTCACTAAAAGCAGAACAAAGTTGCTCCACCAAACTCACCGAGACATGTCCATGGCCACTCAGCGAGGATTGTAGAAGGCGAGTAAGTTTAGAGTCACGATATGGAACATGAGAAGCTTTCCCCTCACTTAGTTTTCCAATTACCTTCACATTTCAGCTTTACAGTTAGTGTATGCTCCTTAAATGACATTTGAAAAGGTGTTCACATCCAAGTAGCTTCTTTAAGTTAAAGCAGAAAGGTGGAAACCATATACATGTAAATATTAAAATAACAAAGTGCCCCTGTCTCATGACAATGAAAAAGAAAAATAAAAATGAAGTACAAAAAAAAAATCTAGCAATAAATAAATATAATAAAAACTCTTCACTCAAAATCCATTACCATAGTCAACCTGCCAAACTGCACCATCACCACAAAAGAAAACCAACTAAAAAATGCAAATAGATGCTAGAACCTACAGTTCCAAGGGTTAGAAGACTTTTGTTTATGTAAGATCCTTCTTTTCTCCTCAGTCCAGTTGTTTCAGTCTTTGAACTCTCAGACCCTGCTAGATCAATCAAATTCTGCAAAAGACAAATAAATAAATAAAACAAAGTAAGATGAACAATCATAAAGTGAAAAGAATGACTCTAAATTAAATCATTTTCAGCATACAAGTTGAGAAAATATCACTCCATCATATTCATCACCATGTGCACTACTCTCAATCATCTGCAAGAAATAAATAATAAATAAGAAGATTATAGACAAAAGGATACATATAACTATCCAAATGGAATAAAAGGACACTATTATAAATCATATAATTCTTGCACAAAAAAAAGGCAGCCCAATGCACGAGGCTCCCACCAATGCGGGGTCTGGGGAGGGGCAGATGTACGCAGCCTTACCCCTGCACATACAGAGAGGCTGTTTCCAAGATTTGAACCCTGGTCACCCTGGTCACCCAGGTCGCAATGGAGCAACCCGACTGTTGATGCTTGCATATTCATAATATGTAATTCTTGCACATTTATAATATAAATGCATGTAAAAGTTGATGTCAAATGACTACAAATAAGGTACAAAAAATGTAAAAGAATAAAATTACAAATAACAACTACTTGAGCTGTCTATTTAGAAGAAGAGATGGTATAATTAGTTGGGCTTTCAGTGGACCAATTGGGATAGCCTCTTCAACTAAGGCTGAAGTCATGGCAGCCTTAACTGGAATCAGGATTGCAAGAGATCTGGGCTACCTGAATATACTCATAAAAGGAGATTCTGCAAATACTATCAAGTGGTTAGCTGATCCTGGCAGTGGTCCCTGGGCTTTAGCTCATTTTTTATCTGAAGCTAGAGATATCCTCTCTAACTTGAATGCACAGTTGGTTTGGATCCCTAGGGAGTTAAACTCTGGTGCTGATGATCTTGCAAAGGCTGGCACTCACAGGGATTTCATGTTTAGTGATAGCTTTCTTCCTGTTTAACCTTTTGAGTTGTAATTTCATGTACCTCCAGCCTTTTGAAGAAAGTTACCATCTTTTATATATATANTATATATATATATATATATATATATATATATATATATATATATTTCTGTTTGCGAGTCCATGTACAAAATATCCAGAAAACTCTGAATAGGCGTGCTACATTTATATAAATGTACAAAATATCATGCCGGTGCCTATGGGGGCAATTTTTTCTTCTCTTCTCATTGGGTTTTGATATAAATAATACTTGTGAGGCAGGACAGAACATTTCATGCTGCCACCCCTTTTGAAAGTTTCTCTCTTCTCTACTGGTTTTTCCTTTTCTCTTTTATGGCAAATAACTTTAGACTACACTCAAGTTAACATAAACACATAGAATCACTAATTTGATCACAATCCTATGTAATAATTATATAGCATGATAGTTAATGCTTCTGCAATGGAAAACTGCATACCAAGGTAAATATGGTGTGACTTCTGCTACTCAGTAGGTTGAAATTATTTGAACCAACATGGCGATGCTCTGTTGTTTTACATATACACATCATTAGTAAGGCAGAATAACAATACACAATTTAACATATCATGAGAAAACACCAAATCAAAAATAAATTTTGGTATGGTAGACAATAGCAGAAGTAATCCCAAACCACACCTTCTCCAGCAGCAATAAAAGAAAGTGCATGTCCAGGAGATAAAACAACTTCCTCCTTGATACCTTCAACATAGGTACCCTGCAAAACTTTTGTATCACAGAATTAGTAGTGTAGTCACGGTGAAATTAACAACCTAAATAATGCCATAGCATAAGAAGCCACACAGAGAAAAGGAAAAGGTTTTTTCAGTTTAATGTTATTTACTAAGAAAACAAACCAAGGTCTAAATTTCCTAGTGAATAACAAGGCCTCAAGAATAAGAAGTTTTACAGTGGAAAAAAGTAAAGATACCAAGCCATAAGATGAGAAATTATCAAACCTGTGCATCTTCTCTAACACGCAAATTTTGTCCTGTTGGATCTAGCAAGTCATTTATCACCTGAAAACATCAACAGAAATAGCAGTTTAAAATTTTTAAGTTGGATGAATTTAGTTTAGCTGAAACCTCAACAAAGTAATCTCTTGGTCTTAATGTAATCTGCAAAATTCACAGTCAAGAGAGAGGAAATGGATATTCTCGGTTAAAATTTGTAATGCATCTCTGTGTGGTGTCTGTGTGTGTGTGTAACTGATTCCCTCTTTTCCTTCTCTTCCTTTCTTGCATGGAGGGGGAGAATGATTCCTTTTATGGCAATGGATTTTGTTTCCCCTGTACCAAACAAAGTGTATTTCTTCATCTGGACTATTTGCCACAACAAAATTCTAACCATTGACCATCATATCGCAAGAGGTTGACATCTAAGAGTGTACATGTGCCTTGTAACAATCTTCTGGAAGCAATCCCATTCCATTACAAGCTCTCAGACAAGACTTGGAACCATTTCATTAAGCTGCTTGGTAGACAACGGGTCAGTCTTGACAATTTTTATGCACAATAACAATATATACTAGATTTATTATGTATGCTAGTACAATTTATTTCTTTTTTTAGCCAATTTACATATTTATATGCACTAAAAGAAAATATGTAAATTGGCTAAAAAAGAAATAAATTGTACTAGCAACATAATAAATATAGTATATATTGTTATTGTGCACAATAAATTGTCAAGACTGACCCATTGTCTATGCATAATATGCTTTAGAATTTTTTATTTTTTAATATGAACACTATGCTTTAAAAATTTTTCTGAAAATAAAATATATTTTTATTTCATTCATGCTCGTAACTTCAAATAATTCATTGAATCAATTTACATGTTTCCTATTTATTTCTTTATACATCTTTGGATAAATTTTATTTCTTTATAGTAAACTTATAATATTTACTTTTTATGGCATTTTTAAATTTTATTTTGTATTATATTTTACATTTATAACATTTTTATTTAAATAAAATAAAATTTTGCTTAGCTTGCATTTATTCTAGTACATTTTTCAATAAAAACTAATTTACAATTTTCTAAATTAATATTTTTTATCAATTGTGTTCTATAGATTCTTTTATTTGTTCTAATTAAGATTTTTCATCATATATGGTGCACTATTTTATTGAGTTTAATCAAATCTCCTCAAATTATGCCAAATATTATAAATTAATATATTGTATTGCTTTCTTTTTTCAAATTGAATGTTACATAAAATGAGGTGCACACCGCATCAATTCAAGGTGTGAGATGGTGAGGTATAGGTTAAAGCCTATGCAAAGTGATTTGGTTCCACCTCACCTCAACCGCCTTTTAAAAGATTAGTCTAACCCAGTGAAGGAATTCAGTAAAAGAGAACATGGAATATAACCATTTAGCTCTTCATGGGAGCATTTGGAGGGAGAGAAATAAAAGAATATTTTAAGGAAAGAGATGCATAGTGAATTCAATAATTGGAAGGATGGAATGCACAATAATGAGTTCCCGAGTGGCAACTTACAAGTGCCTGAACTTGTGCAATTTTTGAAATGACTGAAAAACATAATTTCGTGTGCTAGTAATGTGTATCATGTATGTGAGATGGAAAGTCTATACTTGTATTTAGATGTACAAGGGAAGTTGCCCCTTGATAATTTTTTTGACATTAAGAAGACTTACCTTATGTATCAAAAAACAAAAAGGCTGAAATGAACTATGCAGTCCAAATCACAAAAATATAGAAGATCAGAAACACAACTCCAAATGTAAACCATACATGGCTCTCAAAATGGCAGCATATACACAACAGAAACTTTGAGAATGAGAAGGAATCAACAGCATTCCAAAGACCTTATCTAAAATGTATACCAAGTACACCATGAATGGCAACTGACCTCATTGTAGATTTCAAGATAAGAGACACGGAGTAAGAACTCTCTTCCTGGAGTCTGCAAGGCGATTGGCATAATTACAGCATCCTTAAAAGAGACATTTCGAACAGAAAAACAAAAAAGAAAGAAAGAAAAGTCCAAGTAGGTAAACAGAGTTGAATAGATATTCCCAGGATGCCAAATTTTCTGCAGTTTCATACTTTCATCTCCTAAATCAATACTTTTTGATCTTCATAGAAGCATGAAGTGGTGAAAATTTTTATTTTATGTAAAATAGCCAGAAATTGAAAGAAACTATTCACAGAAAATAAATAACAAAAAATAGAAAGCATTATGAGCCCAGACCAGTGTTCCAAACAATTAAGCTTATAATATACATAAAAGAAAGTCGAGTCTCTGGACCTAAGCCAACAAGGTAAATTGACAAAAGACAAGCAGTTTACAACTGCTTGCTTTATACTAAATCGTGGAGGACATATCAATGCTACAATATTTATGGATGCACTTACATCTTGGATTATGCTGAAAACATCCTTGATGGCCAATGGTATAATACCTGGAGAGTTTTGATCTCCCTGTCAAAATTAATATTAACAAAATGGTCAGGATTAAAGATGGAATAACAAATTTTTCTTCTCTTGCTGATAACAAACAAGCTTACTAAGGATGAAGAGAATAAGGGAATAAAAGATGTAAGAATATTTAAGAAACTTAAAAACAAATATTTCCCACTCTATACCTGGAAGAATTAAAAACCTAAATCCTTCACTTAGGGAATGGAAACAGGAGAAATGAAGAAAAGATAAAACTACAAATTTAACAGACTACCACATTCAGATTGTAATTCTAGAAAAGCAAACTGAAAGTGCAGCCAATTCATGCAAAGAGGGTAAAGAAAAGGCTCCATGAGCTCACTAATCTTGCATCTTAGTTCAATATGATGGAATTTTGGTGGGGATGGAAAGGAAAAGGAATAAAAATAATGAAGTTTTTGTAACTACGTTATGAACACCATATCCATCTTCCAGACTCTTATGGCCTTGCCAATGAATGTCAAAGGCATGCATCATCTGCAACAAATTAGGCATTCCTTACATGAGAGTATAATGGGTTTGTTTAGGCTTTTTCAGACTTGATCCTGTCATGTAGAGCCTGTTCGGTTTAGGTTGGCCTTGTTTGTTCTGGCTCAGGGATAAGGTATATGTTCTCCCTGGTTTTAGTTGTGCTTCGATCACATTAATGAACAAAATTTTTGAATTGGAACTGAAGCCTGAAAGTGGGTAGGGGATCTTGTCTTATGATGATATGGAGGGACCAGCCCCTCCAACTCTTTAGAGACAGAGAATTATTCATCAAATCCCTTATTTGAGAAAAAATAAAGAATGGAACATGATTCCCTGGAACACCTCCAAAAAAACTAAAAGTAAATTTGGTGCATGATAATATTTAATAACCATGTTATAAAGACTTTAGGTTATGCCAGACTTTGAGTTGATAATTATTGCTGTTATACTTATAGAGACTTCATATTCATTAAAGTTATCTTTTTTCTTTAAAGTCTTTTACAAAATGGCATTTCCACATTTTCCAATGAGAATAGGATGGTTTCAATGACAATCTGGACGGCAAATGGAGATCAAGTTACAGTTACTCATGAGTCAGCCACTGGAAAAAACATAACCAATAAACTAAGATGTGATAACAATCTGCTTTACAGTTAGAATCCATCACAAAATGGATTTCATGATCTGGAATCGCCATTTTTAAAGAGTAGAACTACAAAGAAAAAGAATAGAAATATATCATCTAGGAGAAATTGGGACTCACATGCATAGTGTGTGTCTTCCCACTACTTGTAACCCCATAAGCAAAAACTGTCCCTGAAATTCAATTTAAATGGTTTATTTAAGAAGCTTCTCAATACCATCAGATTCACTTAATTGGTAATACAATTCAATTAGGAAATCTCCCAATTCACATGAAGTTCACTTTTTTCTGGATGCCTAAGCTGAGGTGCGGAATGCATATCATGAGAATAAGGGACAATACCATTGATGCCTTCCATTGCAGCCTTAACTACTGGTCGTGCAGCTACATCATAAACCTCCTGAGAATTTGCTGAAGGTCCAAAAACCCTATCTGCAATACCAAAATAACATATAGCACAGAAAACATTAAAAGAAAAGGTGTATAAGTAACCAGAATGGAAAAAACAAAAAAAAAAAGATTTATATTATCCATGGCTCCATGCCACTTGAAATCTTGTTTTTATCAATATCACTAGACAAGTAAATAGGGAAGAAAGCATATGAGATTATTGCGACCAACCATTGATGGTAACATTCCCAATTCCATATGCAGCAACCAGAAA